CCGTCAATCAGCAAAAGTCTCGCACAGTTCAACGGCAGCAAAGTGCTAAACAGAAAACTGGTGCACCTAATGAGCAGAAATCATACACATCTAACAGTGGCGCTTCTGCGGTTTTTCCGTGCGAATGCAAACGCACGAACAAAGAAACTGTCGGATCAAATAATGAATAAATTACCAGTGCTGGTTTTTGTCGTATTAATAAGTTGTTTTATTCATATACTGACACGCAACAGTTCGGCCGGTGCGCCGAGAATGCCATAGAACTAAATAGCTTCTACAGAGAAAATAAACTGAAAAAATAAACTGAAGCGAAAACAACAAAACAACGTCATCCAAATAGTCCCCATAGCTAAAACTGGCATGACCAAATGCAGATCAAGGTTAAACAGTTTGCCTCATATCCAAGAGGCAAAACTGTGACCAATCCCAAGTACAGCGTATGTGCGTGAGCGTGTCACCGCAAATTAAGCTCCACGTCATGACTGTAATGCTGAATCTAATGAAGTCCGTCGGACGACAGGCGGAGTCGAAATTGTACGTACGTTCTATTTCATCTTCGGAGTCACCCCTAAGCGACTGCATGTCTGTCACCAATAGATCTTTGCAAATTTGATGTTGGAGGCGGTGTCCGTGGTTTGGATCCCATGATAGGATAGTTTGAGCGAATTATGTTTTTGTACACTGCATTATCAATCTAGATACCACCGGTTTGTACACCAATACCACATATGAAGACGAATCTGAACCGGCAAAAATTGGATCACGACGATAATAGGCATTCAAACAATCGCAGACATCAAGCCAGAGTCAAACAGCTGAAACTGGTAATGAGTAATAAATATAAAATGAACTATCTAACTACCTAATAAACTACTAACAACTACCTAATAAAAGCGAGATTAACTTAGCCTATTTTAAAAATGTCGTCAGTGAATATCGAAGAACGAATGCAATTCGGAAGAAAACTTGTTCCTTAATTTCAGTTCCTTTAGTTCAGTTACTTAAGTTCCGTTCCGTTACGTTCATTTCAACCGTAAAGCATTTTCACAATAACTGCCCCAACTCGACGTCGTCGTTTTGCTGTTTGAAATATTCCTAAGGCATAACTATGCAGATATCGATCCTGAGGATTCGTGCGGGTTCGGTTCGTTATCAAGAAGCCTTCATAAATATTATCATCATTTAAGTTCCAGTGAATGAGAGCTGAACCACACTGAAACCACCGAAACTGTTTACATATTGAAGAACGCAAGGAAGCCAATTTTCATGAATCTGACATGCATATGTGCACGCGAAAAATATATTAAATTATGTCCATCATCTTGGAATTATTGTTTGGACTGAATCTGCTACTAATTAAATCGAATGCACGATTGGAAAGAAACGTCGAGAATCTTCTAATGCAAAATTACTCCAAGATTTATATTATCTCCAACGTTTAGTTAAAGCATGTCTTGCCAGGAGTCCTACCGTTTCACACGCATTTTTCTGCAACTATAGTCCCAGGCATCTTTTCCTGCCACCTCTTACCTTTCACTTAATTTCTGTAACCTGTCTCCAGAGTTTATCTATGATAAAGTTTGTCATGCATGTCGCTAATTAATCGGTGTTTAAAAGTGTGCATTGACATTAACACTCTTGCAAATTATGGAACATCCGAAGGACGATAGCGGTTATATTGTATGCGGTCATTCGTCGATTATAGCATTGCGTTCAATACATTGCTCCAGGATTAACTACCGAGCAAGTCTTACTTACTCGCTATAAATCCCACCAGTCTCGGCTGATTAACCAGTTACCGCTCGAAACATCAACAGAATGAGAAGATCGACAGATAGTCCATCCTGAAAACAGTAGTGGCTGTTTCATGTTTTCTGGACTTCTGAGAATCTGCGCCTACGCTGAACGAATAAACGACGATGCTATGAGCACGTGTATAAGCTTCCGCGTGGTATTCTTTTGGAATGAAAGTATGAGAAACGAGGAAAACATTTACAGTGCAAAGGGAGAGCAGTATTTGCGAAAATGTCAGAGATCATGCGACAACTTTCAGAGACTGACAGGGGTACATCGGCTACTCCGAAGACAAGTCTTCCATATCGTACTGAAGAATGAAAGTTGCACGACATAAGACCAGAAAAGGAGACTGTAGAAGCATGCACAAAACGTAGGATGCACGAAAGGGCAAATACCTTCACTGGATGATTTCGAAAGTTCATTCTGATTTTACGTTACAAAC